GGGCTCTGCCCTTGCTGTGCGGCGGGGTGGCTGCCGCCGGAAAGGAGCCGCCATTCTGGGCGCTTCCCTGGGAGGCTGCCGGCCACCCGCCCGGCGTCCTGGCCCCGCCGCCCGAGCTTGTTTACAGCGGCGGCAGAGGGCTCCGCTCCCTGGAGGGGGGCGGGCAGGGGCCGAGTCAGTTCATGAGGCCTCCGGGAAAGGCTCGGTGGGGGTGGAGGTGGCCAGTCTCCCTGCTCTGTGTCCCGGGCGGCTTCGTTTGGGGTGTGCGGTTTGGTTTTCTCCCCTGCGATCGGCTTACGAAGGGAGTGTGGGGACACGTTGTGTGTCGGCCAACAGGCTCGTTTCGGGCCGGGCCTCCCCCTCCGTCCAGTGGGCTTTGAAGCAAAGGGCGACTGGCCTGCCTACAGCTCTCTCTGACCGCTGTCCCTCCGTTCTGGGCAGATCTGCCAGCATGAATCTGTGCCTGACCGCCCTCAGCCTCTGCTTGGGACTGGCCTTCGGTGCTCCCAGAGCAGACTCCGATCTGGACGGTCACTGGAAACTGTGGAAGTCGTGGCATAACAAGGACTACCATGAGGTGAGCGCCCGGGGATATGCGCTCAGCTGGGCCCTGCCAGCTGAGTCATGTCTGCTTTGTTTTAACGCTGGCTATGCTCTGCGTTTGGGGAGGATAATCCCTCGTTTCCCAGGTCTCTTTCTTGTGTTTGTGTATCGAGACAACTGTATTGTACTCATTTGTTTTTGTTACAAGGGTGGCAAAAAGACCATCTCTTAAACATTGTTCAGACTTTCCATTCAAGTAGTCTACGTTTGCCTGAGTATACATGACATAACAAAGCACATTATCGTGCGAGTGAACTTTGTCTGAACTGCCTCCTTGAAGCATGTTGTTTTCTGGCCCCTCAGAGAGAGGAAAGCTGGAGGAGAGTGGTGTGGGAGAAGAATCTGAAAATGATTGAGCTCCATAATCTGGATCACTCATTAGGAAGACACAGCTACAGGTTGGGAATGAATCAGTTTGGTGACATGGTACGTATAAAAGTATGAAACACAGTGCTAAACAGAGGTGTGTAATAGGTGGTGACTGCATGTCTTGAATTTTCTTCAGACAACTGAGGAGTTCAGACAGCTGATGAATGGCTATGCCCACAAGAAGTCAGAAAGGAAGTATAGAGGATCCCATTTTCTTGAGCCCAGCTTCCTGGAAGTACCACGATCAGTAGACTGGAGAGAGAAGGGATATGTAACTCCAGTTAAAGACCAGGTATTCTGATGGTGGATTTCTACAGATCCAGCTTCCTGAATGCTACCTCTGCTTCCACAAAAGAAAAACCACTGTGTATTTATTTACTGAAGCCCAGTGCAAGCTTACTAAATGAAGTGCCATTTTGATAAAACTGCTGTACCCCTTTAGTATTTTTGAGGAGTTCTCTACTAAATGTCTTAAGAACTGAAAAGTCTGTTATATCTTCACTTGTACATGCTAGGAGTGTGAAACTGAAGTTTGTCTTGTGGCTTTTGTGTTTTTCATGTTTAGATCAGCAGTAAGGAACTGTAATTGCCTAATCTGTCTGGATTTGTAACTTGTGATTTCATTTCTTGCTTCAGGGTCAGTGTGGCTCTTGCTGGGCTTTCAGCACAACTGGAGCTCTTGAAGGACAGCACTTCAAAAAAACTGGCAAACTTGTTTCGCTGAGTGAACAAAATCTGGTGGACTGCTCTCGCCCTGAAGGGAATCAAGGCTGCAATGGTGGTCTCATGGACCAGGCTTTCCAGTATGTGCAGGATAATGGTGGAATTGATTCAGAGGAATCGTACCCGTACACTGCAAAGGTAAGTGTAATAGCTGAACTCATATTGCAGTTGCCACGTCTTTTATGTGGACAAACTATGTTGGGAAACTTGTACCTAGAAAGGAAAATGTCTAAGTAGTCATTGGTACATCTGTTCTTCCTGTTGCATCTTTCTCAGGAAAACTAGAATGACTGCTAGCCCTAGTGGGAATCACATGCTTCACTGGTCTTTGAGTTCAAAATCTTACCAGACCAGTTGGAAGGACTAGAGCAAATATTTTTATTCCTCCCCCTCATTGCTGCTGTCCTATCGGATGTTGTGCCTTATCTTGGTTGACACACCAAACCAGGACCCAGCCCTTGTCAACAGTGCTACTTAGTTGTAGAGGTGAAATTCAGCTTCCCATGACTGAGCTATTGTGGAGTTGCTACCCATAGACTGGCTAATTCTTGCCGCTAGTATGATTTATTTTTTAACAATGATTGTTGGCAGTGCTGGACTAAATGTACATAATGTAGACAATGGGCAGACTGTTAAAATACCCCTCATGTTCAGTGGTATCACTTGAGAGCCCACGGTTTGGGCTTTTTACCACTTGGGAGTTCCACTTGTTATAGAGTATTTTTCCTTGCAGCTTAATGCTGTGTTGACAGAATGTGCAATAGCAATGCTGCTTGTTGTGAGCAACATAGAAGCCTTTGGATTTGGGTTCCTCTTCACCAGCATCCCTGTTATCTCAATTTTTTCCTAATCTTGACTCTTGCAAAGGTTCCATTTGGTAATAGGAACTACCTAACTTGCTGAGTACAAAAAGGAAGCAATTGAGGTGTACTCCATGTTGCTTTAGTTGTGGGGAGGCAGTTTTAAGTACTAATTTTACCACACAAGTAAGGGAGGGATGTACTTGCTTTAGTCTCTTTGTTTCACATGGCCTAACTTGCAAACTAGGCCTCTCCTGATGTAAATGCCTGTGGCACCAACAATTCAGGCTTCATTGTAAGAAGAATAATGTGAAGAAACAGCATAAAATACGTGAATGGTGTATGTAGGGTCATATGCAAATTACTGATTTCTAAAACATTCTGTACAGTTTTTCCAACATGACAGTCTAAAATTGTGGATTTTAAGTGCTTGCTCAACGTCCAGTTTCTGGATTGCTTTAATAAATAAATACTTGGCTTTCTTCCATTGCCCATTAATGCATTCTGGGCTTCTTTCCTCCCTGAAAAGACATTTGTCCTGCCCACCAAAGAAGGGAGGGTTCCGGGATGTAATGGTACTTTGCATCCTAGTAAAGCTTTCCTTTTGACCCCTGCTGTCCTTTGGCTTTTCTGTACCTTTGAGAAGCTCAGAAGCAACGTCTGTGTTTTTCTTCTGCAATTCTTTCAAAGCACTGCTGAAGCAATTGGTTCCTCTTCAGTCCTTGTTTACAAGGCAGCAAGGACACAATGTCTGGTAGTTCCTGTGCTCTCACCTGTGTGTTACATGGAGAACTGTGTAATAACTAGGGCTTTCTTTATTTAGGATGATGAAGACTGTCGCTACAAGGCAGAGTACAATGCTGCTAATGACACTGGCTTTGTTGACATCCCTCAAGGACATGAAAGAGCTCTCATGAAAGCAGTAGCAGCTGTGGGTCCAGTCTCTGTTGCTATTGATGCAGGCCACTCTTCATTCCAGTTCTATCAGTCAGGTGGGGTTTTGTTAACAACTTGCATGCAAAGAACTTTTTTGAGTATTTGGTATAAATTACCCTTCAGTTTAATAGGTAAAAAAAACCAAGTATGATCGATCCTGACATAGGACATAATCAGGCGTCCCTTTAATTCTAGTTCAGGTTCTCAACACTGTAGTTCTCTTGGGTATGTGTGTACTTGTTCCTCAGTTTCTGCTGTGATACACTTCACTTATGACTTGTTTCTCTGACTCTCAAGAGGCTGTGTAGCATGTAATTTGAATTACAGCAAGCTTCTACTGAGGGAGAAGAGTTTACTGCAGAGGAGCTTCTTCACATGTGAATTTACACCTGTGCAGGTATCTACTATGAACCAGACTGCAGCAGTGAAGACCTGGACCATGGTGTTCTGGTTGTAGGTTATGGCTTTGAGGGGGAAGACGTAGATGGGAAAAAATATTGGATTGTTAAGAACAGGTAAGATCTCTCTTGGTACCTTTGTACCCTTTGGGGGTAGGGGAGAAGGAAAGGTAGTTTGTCACTTGTAGTGGGGCAGGGGGAGACACCAGTAGTTAAAATCTGCATGTGGAAGATCTGGTGACGGTTCTCGTATTGTATGACAGAAGTTAAACCCGACTCCTGCTGCTGGCAGCCTAATAAAGTAGGCCCAAAGCAGCAAGTTCATTCTTCTGCCCCTTCAGTTAACTCAAGGATCCTCAGTACTGGGACAGCCCATGGAGCTAGTAGATCTTTTAAGTGGTAGAGCAGAGCAGGAGGAAACCAGGTTGTGGGGGGTGTAATGGGTTTTTTTTGGAAGGAGACTGCTGCTCATTTGTGTGAAGTAGGGTAACACTTGAACTTTTAAAGGTGGAGTTGTCCCCTATATTAGAGGGAAAACAATAAATAACCAAAGGGCACATCACATGAGCTTGTCTCATGTGCTCAGCATTACTGGGGCCTCAAATGCTGCTTGCAGTCTTGGCCTTCCCTTGAAGTTGGCTGGGACTCAGTGTCCGAGCAATCCAGGATTGCACATGAAGATCTTCATCTAGGGAGAGGATGGCTGCAGCCTTTATTTCTGTGAGCTTGGGTTGTCTTTCCTGTAACTTGCATTTAATTGCTGGAAAGTGCATTAGTTTGGTTACAGCTATTTTGATTTTTCTCCACACATGTGTAAGGTGGCAGCAGTTTTCAATTCAGACACTTAGGAAGGGATAATTAAGTCTCTTCGGAATACGAAAACAAACCCTTTCCTTCTGTTTTCAGCTGGGGTGAGAAGTGGGGTGACAAAGGATATATCTACATGGCCAAGGACAGGAAGAACCACTGTGGAATAGCAACAGCTGCTAGCTATCCACTTGTATAATCTGAAGACTGAACATTTCAGTGCAAGAGGGGTTCTAAACTGAATGACCAAACCCATGTTCACACATGTGGTAGACTTGTATCCTTCAAAAATGTCAACTTGATTTTTTTTTTTTAACTTCTGAAGTATGTTTTACATGTTGGTGAAATGCCACTTGTTCTAAATTAATGTAAATGTTGTTATGTAAACAGCTTGTAATATTGCTGGCTTTTGACTGGTTAATCTTCTTTGTATTTTTTTTCCTTTTTTAAAATTGCAATGTGCCCAAAAGTTTACTTTTTAAATAAACACTTAAATTCCACTGTGTACAGATGACTTAGCTTTTTGGTCTATGATTTTTCTACTTGGGACTCATCAAACAGGTACCCTAAATCATACTATGAACTGAAGCCTATATGCATGCCTCCTCTCATCAGTTACTAAAATGCAACCCTATCTGGGAATGGCTAATATCTGTTATAAAATAGAGTACTGTTTGTGACACAATTTACTTAAAATGGGAAGTGGAAAAAACTTTTTATCAACTAAAGAAGTACCTGAAAATCTGACTCATGTTTTGAAGCTGCTTGCTCCCCAGAATGTGTAAGTGAATTCTTGCTTAGTCCTGTGACCTAGAGGTGATACTATCTATGGTTCTTTATACTTCATAACAATGATCTTCAGTCTTTTCATGTTTTGTGTGTGGCATCTGATCTTCACTTAGCTTTAATACCACTGGTGTTTTCTTCTGCCACCTCAAAGTACCACACTTTGCTGTTAGAGCAGTTGCCTCTTTTTGAGCATTATAGGATATAGCAGGAACACCCAAAGCACCTGGGCTGGTCAAAGAAAAGATTGTTTCTTAAGATATGTAGGACCCTTAATACTGTCTTCCCCCTATATGAGCTCTGGCTGGGAAAAGCAGCAGGGAGGGGAAAGAATGCTGTTCCTATGGAAAGTGAAGTTGGGCCAGTTGGTTAGTTCCTGGATCCTTGATGGCTGAGTGCGCTGTGGTGATTTGTACTGTGTCCTGTACCTCTTCTTTTGAGAGGACTTTTCTACTCTGCAGGTACCTGTGCTGATGAAACATGATTAGTAGTTGTTAAATACTGTTGTTTAGATGTGTCTTGGGTACCAGTAGTTTCTACAGAGGAGGGTGAATTGGTAATACCAAAAACAGCTTGGAGGGGAGACTTGCCTTGTTTTTTGGGTGCTGACTCACCCCCTTCTGCATTTGGGCTGGATGAGAAGTAGGCTAGTTTTACAGCTTAGCCAGCACCAGTTGAGAGTTTATGGACCCATAGGTTTTTATACACAGTATGTTTTCTGAGTGATAGACATTAACAGAAGGGGGAACACTTAGACTACAAGTTGTGGAAGATTTCCTTGCTGTAGATAAGGTAAGTCTTAAGCTTGCATTTCATAAACACTTAAAGAAAAAGTGAGGTATCTAGAAAAATAAAAACTTAACTACTTTTCAGTTGCGAGTTTGTCCATGTGCTGCTTACAGATGAATTCTTCCAACCTGAATCTCCCTACAACCCTTTTCTTTTTTTTTTTAAAGGAAGAGCCTCACTCAGCCCAGCGGCTATTTAACATCCCACAGAGCAGAAATACCAGTTAGAATTTAGCTATGATACTTGCTAAGCCGGTTACGGAGAGCATCCGCATTGCTCGGTGGAAGCAGTGGAGGAAATAAATACAGAGCCAGCTGGTGGTCCTCTAAAGCCTTATGTTCAGATGGAAATGGTAATGGTCTGTACATTCAAAATGGGAGGCAAGAGCTAAATGCTGCCAGGGAAGTGACTCTGTAAGCTTCTTATACAGTAGCTGCTCTGGAACTGGGGGTGGATAGAGACCTGTCTCTCTGAATACTTTTTGATGCTGGAAGATGATATTACTGTGAGCTTAACACTGAAGGTGCTACTTGTTTTCTGTATTGATTAAAACAAGAAAGAATATCTAGTGCAGGGTGAAACCAGTATGCAGTGCTTGACTTGAACTGCTGCAAAAAATGAGTAGCAGGGGAAGGTGTTTTGTTATAAAGGTCAAGGTTAATAAAAGTTGCTGGGAAAAGTTAAGTATTTTTTCATGAACAGATGGGAAATTAAAAGGAAGTAACTTTCCAAGGCATATGTACATGAATGGGAATGTAGCTCACAAAAGAGGCATCAGTCTGACTGCTTTAGAAATGTTATAATACAGCTGTCCGTATGCATTAAAACTTGCTGACTGTTTTGACTGAACATCCTCTCTTCTGAGTGGAATAATCAGGAAGAGGATAGGGTAAGTCAGGGCATTCAGATAACTCAATATTTACACAGTCTTCTTAAGTAACAGCTTCACCCAGAATCGCCTTGTATGCATTTTGTGTAAGTTGCAGTTAAGCACGATGGTAGAAATTTTAAACCTGTTACACAATTACATTAAATCTGGTTTTCTGGCTCCACTGCAGTGGCCTTATTTTCTGTAGAGCTATTCCATTTACTTTAGAAGTACTGTTGTAAAGTAGCAAATGTTTGTATCCTGCTGGGGAAAATGTAATCTCTCTTCAAAGTTGTTCCCTTCTGAAGATGCAGCAAATGTATGTTACTCATTCATACAGAATGTTGTTCCCAGAAGAGTTATGGGTAATTAAAGCTGTTGATTACTGTGTTCCAGTATTTTTTTTTCAGGCTTTCTTTGGTTTTATATTCCTGCTGATAGGTGAAGTTGAATTTATTACAAGATGTATTATTTTTAAAGATACTGATGTATATGTATTATCAGTAAAGCATCCTATCTAGGCTGCTCTGTTTAGGCCCTGTCTAAATTACAGCTATTGCTGTTAGTGTGGTCTTAACGTGTATCTAAATATGTGATTTGGGCAATATGTTACATGCATTGTAGGTGGCAGTTCTGCACAGTGATAAAGCTCAGTGGTCATTGCTTGCTTCCATCTTCATTGTGAAAATGAACTTTTATTTAAATTTGGGAAGAAAAAAGGCTTTGCATTTGGTTTTTGTTTGCTGGTGCTTCTTAGACTGTGCTTGCCCTAAAGGTCTCATAAGAATAACAGTTTCTCTGATGTGATTGCTGAATGACCATTAGTAGTTGGTCATGAGTTTCCAAAGGCAAGTACTCTTGAGGCAAGGAAAACCATGAAAAGAAATTATTCCCCTTACACATGAAGTGCTTATTCTTCAAACTTCAGTAAGAAATTAATTGTCATGTGGGAAACTATTTTCCCTTTAAAACCAGTAATTTTCACATCCTATCTGTCATTGCTAAATAGAATGGAATTTTGTGAGGTTTTTAATATGCATTGTTTTTCATCTTTGCTAATTTCTGAGCATTAACAGTGGAATAAATAAGCTTATTGTCCCCCTAGACTATCCATCCAGGAAAGTGATTTTAAAATATTTTGAAGGACTACAGTGCATCTCACTCTGTTAAAACCTTGCAGGGAAGCCAAACATCATGAGTTGTATCAGTGAAGTTTTATTATAGTGAATAATAATTCTGTTGATCTGTGTAAGGGCACTCAGCAAACAAATCATTCTGAGACAATCACAGGTATAGGAAAATGGGAATATCCACTTAAAAAAAAAGATGAAAAAATGTGGCTTCTGAACATCAGTTATGCAGTATTTGCTCTTTAATTAATCTTAGTGTAATAAAGAATCCTGCCATGTGTCCATATCCTGGCTGCCTCAAGCGTGACCAGCAGGTCAAGGGAGGGGATTCTCCCCTTCTACTTCACTCTCTCAGGACCCCACCTGGAGTCCTGTGTCCAGCTCTGGGTCCCCCAGTATAAGAAAGACAAAGACCTGCTCAGACAGATCCACAGGAGGGTCACAAAGATGATCAGGGGGCTGGAGCACCTCCCTTATGAGGACAGGCTGAAAGAGTTGGGGTTATTCAGCCTGGAGAAGAGAAGGCTCTGGGGAGATCTTATATTGGCCTTCCAGTACTTAAAGGGGGCCCACAGGAAAGATGGGGAGGGACTCTTTATCAGGGAGTGTAGGGGTAGGATGAGGGGTAACAGCTTTAAACTGGAAGAGGGGTGATTTAGGTTAGATAAAAGGAAGACATTCTTCCCTGTGAGGGTGGTGAGACACTAGCACAGGTTGCCCAGAGAAGCTGTGGCTGCCCCCTCCCTGGCAGTGTTCAAGGCCAGGCTGGACGGGGCTTGGAGCAACCTGGGCTAGTGGAAGGTGTCCCTGCCCGTGGCAGGGGGATGGAACTAGACGGTCTTTAAAGTCACTTCCAATCCAAACCATCCTGTTGATTCTATGATCTCTTAAGATTAATACCAATTGATCAGTTTTTACATATTGAAGATTAACTGGTTTGGGCTATTAACCAAGCAATTGAGCATATCCTGATGGCTGTGATAATGTAGGCTGATGCTTCTACTTTCTGTCTCTTTCCCCTTTATTAAGGTATATGATAGATTAAGAGTCCATTTTTAATTGCAATCTGTTGCAATACCCTTTACTCTTGTTGGGAAGTCATAGCAGAAAATGCTAAGGCCTAACTAATACAGTACTTCAAAGAAAGAATTAAGATGAAAATCACTGATGGGGGGGTTTCTGTCATTCTGTTATCAAATCTTTATCAAATCGTCAGTGAAATTTCGTATAAGTGTAGGGGCAGCTACAGCATTTGGAAAAAAGGATATAATCAGACACAAAATTCATCAGCAAAGATTCAACCTGAAACTTCACTTCGGGGAGGAGGAGGGTTGGCCACACGGTGGAGACCTGATCCATAGATTGATTAGCTTAGATATATTATGGGCTGTGGAAGAAGCCACTTTGGCTTGTGTTCACCAAGAACATGGCTGCTTTATTTCTTTTTTTCATGCTAAGTTGCACAAAGATTTAGTTTCCAGTGGTCTTAAAATTATATTTTTGCAGCAGTTTTTGTTTCCATCATGCTAGTGTCTGTTGAAGAGCCACTACCAATCTTCGTGAGTAAAGGGGCAAAGAAACCATTAAGAAAGTCATCTATAAAATGCGTACTGGGTTCTTTTAAAATGCTTCTACCTTGTTTTGTTAAGTTCTCACCACCTCTGGGACATCCAAACCCTACTTCTGAGTGAAATCTGACAGCCTTTCCCAATAAAGTGATGCTGGGAAACCTGTTTTAGAAATACTGATGTGTGTTGTGAGGTGTGGTGCTACAGCTGTGATATGTGCTACCTTACCTTCTGCAGTCCTGGTTTGGGAAGAAGTGACAACGATAGAGCAAAGTCAGAGACTGAGCTATTCCCCTCTTCAGGCACCTTCATAAGACAGTTCTGGGTAAGGCTGGTTTTGTGAAGGCTCCAGGGAAAAGATTGTGGTTGGGCTGAGATCTGAGCAAGGAAAAGATGATTTTCCAGCCTGGTGAGGCTTGTCCATGTGCTTAGTAGCATCTGATCCACTCTGGACTGGAAATTAACTGGAATTAACTTAGTGTTTAAAGTCCTTTGTCTATGTTAATGTGTGTTCCACCAGGGTGAGAGTTGTTTAGGTGTGCTCTCCTGGGGTGCCACTGAGGGCCTTCTGAAACTACTACAGCCATTACTTTATGCATCTAAAATGGAAAATCACAGTCTCAAGAACAGCTGTGGAAATACTGTAAGTTCTGGTTTTAATTATTAAGTTGATTTAAAAAAAAAAAAAAACTAGTGAAAGCTTCCTGCAGAGCATGCGTGCAGTGGCACAAAACTAATTTTTAAAAATGTGTGGGGCTGTTAGATACTCAAAGCAGTTTAGGGTTTCTGGGAAGTTGATGCTGAAACAGAATGTTGAGAACTCCTTCAGGCTGTAGCAGGCGTCTTGGAACATGCTTACTTTTGTTTAAAATACAGAAGTCAATGAAATAAAGGTGGTTTCAGAGCTGCCAAATCACAGATGGTTTTTCCCACTTGCAAAGGAAGTGAATCTCTAAATGTATTTGTAATTACCAGTTTATGAGGCTAGTAACAAGTTATGAAAAAACCTAGATAGGGCTGCCCACAGAACTTTCAAAACTGTGTCTGCAGATGCCCCTTTTGCTAGATATGGGTCTGGCCAAGTGCATACTACAATCTTTTACCAGAATAGCACAGCAATGCAAGCATTGTGAATGTGTTTTTCTCAGTAGCACTCTTAACATTCCTTCTGCTCAGCCATGTTTACTAGTATTGCAGTTTGCTTTCCTCATTCAAGCATGAAGCGCTGGCTGACAGCATTTTTTTGAATGTGACATTGCACTGGCTTTTGGAGATTTATGATAATGTTCTCCTGCAATTGAAAGAAACTTCTCTCTGTGTTTGTACAGAAATTAAAATGCCTTGTGCAAAGGTTAAGAATTAATACTGCCATTTTGCTATTAGTTGCTTGCTAGTCACAGGAAGAATTGGAGGGGACTTGTGTTTCCTGATTCAGTGCTATTAAGAGGTTTGATCACGTTTCTCTCACAATATAATAGAGGATTTCAGAAGCAAACCTGTAGTTATAGGAAGCCCATCAGGAATTGTTACGAAGTGTTACTTCAGTTGCAGTATCTCCAGACATTTCAACAAACTTCATAGGCCCATTTTGTTAGGCACTCTCTAAACCAGCAAGCAGGAGAATCTCCCTCCCCACCAAGTCTTTAATCTAAACTGACACACAGCTGAGGAGTGTGAAAGGAACACTGCCAAAAGCAGTGAGGCCGCCTGCCAGGGGTCCTGCAGCTGATTAGCAGCTGTACGTGTACATTTGAGAGAAGGCTAGCCACCTTCTTTGGCTTTGTTTTCTCTCAGTCGTCTTTTTCTCAGCTCTTCAACAGAGCCAAAAGGTAACAGCTCTATTCTTTTATGGAGTTTAAATTTCAGATCTACATTTGCCCGTGTGACTCTTTCCCTTCCATTTATCCTCCCTGCTTTAATTTCAGCAGTCTTCTTTTTTGCTTCCTCTGCTGGAACAATTAAGTCACGCTGCGATGTTAAAAAAGGGAGAAAGTTGTCCATGCAGGAACAAAACAGGAAACCAGGGAATCAAAAGGGCAAAACACAGATAGTGTGTCACCTGGTAAGTGGCCGGCACAGCAGTGTCTCAGAGTTAGGCTTTTCTCAGCACATGATCATGAGGCCAGTGCTGCAGCCTCTGGGCGTGGGGGAAACTGACTTCTTTCTTTCCCGGACATCTGCTGACAGTGCATCTGAACACAACGCTGAATTGATGAGACATCACGAAGGGTGCTGCCCCTGGTCGGGATTAGGCCAGCATGAGCACAGCTGACTAACTGAGCCAGTGTATTATCTCCTCCATGGAGGTGTCTCTTCAAAAGTGATAAAACATTCATCAGGTGATCTGCTCAAGCAGCTGACAAGAACGCTTAGGATGAGCTGTATTTATCTATGTGTGAGTACACAGCTGTCCTGGCCAACACCCTCTCCAAGCTGGTTTACCAAACTCCCTTCATTGATGCTAGTGGCTAGAACTGCAAAAGCTGCTACCAGAAACGTGCTCAGCTCCCAGTGAGCAGGATCCTGCAAAATCATGATGCAAATCATTGCATCAGGTGAGAGCAACCCCCAGGGTGGATCTCAGTGGGAAAACCTATCTGTCACCTATCTCCATGAACTATTAAAATCAGCTCAGTACTATCAGATCACATGCTTGGTTTGAGGTTTTTATTCTGTTTTCTGAAACCACATCTGTATTTGCAGAAACCGAGGAATGAAACCTGGAAGTGTTTCAGTAGCAAATCATGAGGTTTGTGAGTACTGTCCCTGATGACATGAAGCCTGAATGGTAGCAGTTATCTCCTCAAAATTTACGGGATTCTCTACCTCTGGGTGTGCAGATTCTCTATCTCTGTGTTCATTTTGTTCCCTTGTCCCTACTTCATCCACACTTGGGCCTTGGATGTCTCTTGGAAAGTAGATACTTTTATCTTTGCAGTCTTGTGGAAGTTAATGATTTTATCGTCTTTCCTCTTATTAATCCATCTCTTCTGTTCCATAGGTACCAGCCACCCTTTTCTCACAGTGAGCCTAACTGGGTAGTATAATTTATGCAAACGAAGAGGTCTTTCTTGTCCTGTCTGTAATTAGCCTGAAGTATACTGCTTCCATTTTAGAAGTGAAGAAAAGTCTTGCCTGATTTTTCCAGAAGTATCAGTTGGCTTTATTAAAAACCCACAAAACTCCCTGTGTGTATGTTTTGTAGAAAACAGAATAAAGTACCAACTTTTGATACAAATGCTCAAAGACACATTTGATGCAACATTTCAAACAGCATCTCCGTTTCAGCTGCCTTGTTTACTCAGAGAAGGGTGAGCTCCTGCTGCAGAGGGTTCAGGATCAGCTGCCTGCAGTGGTAGGCAGGCAGGGCAGCAGCACAGGCAGGCTGGGTGCTGCGAGGCTGGTGGAAGCCTGCCAGCCCCAACCTGTTCTCTGATCCCTCATCTTGTGATTGCAGTCACAAGGCCAGTTCTTTGCAGCTGTCTGTTCAGACTAACTTAATTTCCAGTCAAAGTAATTTGCAAACAACTGCTTATTTATTAGAGACGGGTGGCGTTCCTGTGTTTTCTTCTGTTGTTGGATACTACCAGGTTTAGGTAGTTTGCTTTTATTTTACTTTTGAAATAGGTGAAAAGATGCCCTGACATTGAAAATAAGAATTAGGTTTGGCAACAAGTCAGAAGTCAGTGCTTTAAGAACAGTCATGTTTGTTATATACCTGGTACAATACAATCCTTTCCCCATCCTCCTCCAAAAGTCATAGGAAATCAGGCTGGTGTTGGTTTATATATAATTTTATGTCAAGAAACCATTAAGTACTAATAACAAAGGCACACATGTGAACTAACACTTAAGCATGTCAGTTCCTTCATGTACTTGATGTTTCCATGTATTTTCAATTTTGTATCATGCTGATGAGTATCTAAGGAATAATACCAGGTGTCACCTTTTTCTGTAAGCAAAGGCAGAGTCAGAGAACCTTCGTTGTGAGCACTGGTCCATGCCAACTTCCCTGCTTCTCCTGGTGGTGTTGATGACAGCTCGTGGTGTGCCCCATTTCTCACTGCTCCAACCATTAAATATGGTCTCTGGATTCTTAAAAAAACCCCAACAAAACAAACCCAAATGTCTTGTTTTCTTAGCTGTCTGAACACCCTCAGACACTGTAGCAGCTGACCATGAAGGAAAGTTGTGGCCCAGTGTCACAAGGGCTTCCTAGGTGGTGACCCCACCACCACAGACATCCCACATTTTATGACAGAGCTCTGGCAAAATGGTCTGAACTAGTATCACACTGGGAAGGGAAACTTTAAACTCCTTCCTGAGGGTTTAAGAAGGACTCTGTAAAGTGGTCTGGTTGCAGGATTGTGCTAGATGTAGCGGAGAACATGAAAGTGCTTAGGAAATCAGTGTAGGTGTGGTCGATCAAAGTGGGACTCTGGCAAAGAAAATCCACAGCTCACACTGAAGATAGTCACTGCTTTCTTAATCTGCATTTGGGGTTTGCATGCGTAGATTATACAGGGAAGATACTGTTCTCTTTGCAGATACCAGCGTGCCAGCAGCCCACAAACTGGTGAGTGTTCTAATGTAAACATCAGCCAAGCAAACTGCAGTTGTTTGTCAGATCGGTGACCCAGCGCTAGCTCCTTCACTATCAGATGCTTCTGGTGCAAACTTAGGGAAAAAAAAAAATCATGGGAAGGCTAGCAGCTGAGATTATATGCAGGTTTTGCTGTAAAATTACACTTAAATGAAGGCAACTCAGGAGCTGTTACGTTGGCACTAGGGCGCTAAATGGCTATGTTGCAGTATGCAGATAGATGCCAGCCCAGAAATGGAGATCTTAGTCACTAGAGCGTGTATAGTCCCTGCAATACAGCTTTCTTTCAGGATTGTAGGGCACGCTGGGGACTACCAAGTCCCAGTTCCTGCTCTGTCCTTAATCATGTCTCTTGGCCCCTTGGAAACAGAACCAGGTTACAAGGGAGCTTTCTTCTGATGCAGTACTGGTATTGTTATCTTACTACACTAGCCTCAAAATCTACTTGGTTTTAGGTTTCTGATTTAAAAAATGAAATAGATTTTTTCAACAAATTGGCAACATCAGTACCTATTTGTATTCTTACATGGAGACAGGGAGAGAGAGAGGGGGTGACTATATATGTATAAAATATATGTATAAACATATATATATATATATATGCACACATACACTATGTGCATGTTTTGTTTGCAGGAAAACTGATTTACTATCTTTCAGAGTCAGAGTGCACAGTTGCATATTCCAGTAATGTTGGCTATTGCCTAAACCCTCACAGAGTTTTCTTCTTCCTCTTCATTCTCCAGGATTTAAGTGTTACTTGTGTTTTGCTGTCGGTAGCAGAGATTTAGGAAGCACATGACGAGGAACAGAATAAACAAGTACACTTTGTACTTGCTGATCCCGGGCAGTTGCCTCTGTTAAAGCTTTAAGGAGTGACAGATAAAGACCTGCAGAAAGAGTGCTTTGATACCTGAAGCAGTACTGAAACCACATCCTCACCCCTGGGATAACAATACCTAAGGGTAAATACCTGTTGTGTATAATTTTTTGTCTGTCTTTATTCAGCCTGCCTCTTCTTTATGAATAATAGAACATAGTTGTAAGTTTAAAAATAACCACTAGAGTTTCTTGGAAGGAATATTTTTAACTCCTATCTATGCCCTAATGTAATACACAGAATTTCTTTAATAAAGTCTTGTGGGAGCATGGAGCAGGGGTGAAAATGAACAGATGGGGCAGGAGTTGCTTATGGCAAGATGGTCACCAAAAGAAATGCCCATATAATGAGACAGAAGGATTATAAAGGTATCAGGATGTCTAATGCTCGAAGTGACCTGAAGCCCAGTTTTTGCAGTCCTATCACTTAACAGAAGCACACATTTCTTTTAATTAATAATTTTTGCTCTCATTGGTCAATGAATGCCTGCTACTTTCAGACCTGATTCCTTAGGTGGTGTCAAGTCTGAGACATGGCACTAGGTTACCAACAGGATAAGTGTGCTGGAGGTGGCTAGGAACACCCATATAATGTGTATAACAGATCAAGCTTCAATATGAAAGAGAACCTTTCAAAGTAAAAGAAAAAGGGAGTGTAACAGTTGCTTTGTGGAAATAGCTCATCTTCTGTTACAGAGGACAAAATAAACAGGGAATAGCCATGATTTGAGGGTCACATCTGTAGCAGTGGTTTATTGTAATTTGTGCTGTTGAAGGTTAACTGTCTGTAAATAACACAAAGCCTTTTCCTGTTCTTATGAATATTGAAATATCCTGGCAACTTTGCAGCCTTTTCATCTTTATTAATTACCCAAGTCATATATATTTCGGAGCTTAAAAACACTGTTTCACACATCACGAGGCTTTTGGTCTTCTCAGGGCTGTCAAGATAAAAAGCACTTGCGACAAAACCTCTAACAGAAAATCTAGATAACGGCATTGTGAATGTTGATGTGAAAATTCTGTCTGAAACAATGCCAACCAGGTAATGTCAGATGTAAAGCTTCAGATCAAAGTGGGGTACTAACACAATTGTTAATATTATATAAATTAAGTTGCTTCTGTTTAATAATCAGGCCTCTGTCTCTACATTTGTACTGCATAAATCAGAGTTAAAGGATTTTTACACTTGTCTGCAAGGAGAAATGAAATTTTTGTTTTTCTCATCAGCCATTCTCTCTATTTGTCTTGTTCTCATAATGTGGGATTTTCACTGAGAGATGGATGCTAATTGCTAGAATCCACCATCTTGGCTTTTTCTGTAAACTGAAGATGGATGAGCAAGGTCTGACATGAAAAAGCCTTTAGCTGCTCTTCTGGTGCTTCTGTACACAAGCAAGATATTCTTGCACATCATCTGGAGAACCGAGGATAAGAGGGACTCTCTGGTGAATACTCTCAGGTTTCACATCCAACACCGCGCCAGTTCCTGTAGTCGCCATCCCACCTGCCTGCTCGATGATGAAAGCCATAGGGTTGCACTCATAGAGCAGTCGGAGCTAGAAAGAAAGAGGGAACACATGATTGCTTTAGGGGGAAATTACACCAAAGGACTTACCAGAATCTAACTTTCCTTTTGTGATTCTGGAAAATTTTTTACCAAACATCAACTGACCTAAGCAGCAATGTCTGTCAATCAGCCCTAGCTCCTTCCCTCTCCTCCTTTCACCTACCTTAACACCTTTTGTTTTGAGGAAGAGTGTACTGACCCAGCATGCAAGAATCACCACCATAGTTTCCAAGCTGATGAACTGATGTGCAGCACCGGTGAAGCTGTATCTTGTCAAAAATGTCAAAAGTAGCTGTCAAGCCCACAGACATCGGCTAAGTTAACAATACCAGGAGTGAAAAGCCAGAATTTCTTCTCATGTACAGGCTTGATGTGTTACCTCAAAGCTTGGGGTAATCATGTTGTGTTTGGTCAGGATATTTTGGAGTTTGAAACTTGATGCTCCCAGTTTCAAATTTCAGGATTTGATTGCCACTCTTCAGAAATATGAATAGATTTTAGTAGCCTGAACTCATCCAGATAGTGAGTCTGTTTTCAGAAGTATCTGCCGTAATTATTAAAAGCAAATTTTCCCTTTTGGTATGGAGGCACTTTTGGTTTGGACCCTGATACCTGTTCACATCTTTAAAAATGTTAACTCTGGTATGCTCGTGTTCTGGCAGAATGCAAACTTATCTGGGACATATGCCAAAAGTTTCTGTGTTTAAAATATGTGATAGCTGGTTACTTTTTAACAGACATTATTTATGTAGGTTTAATTGAATCTTTGACGGTCTATGAAACACCCATACATGACGATGTCAGTGCATATTATGTTTAAAGGTCTTTCCATATGTGCAAAAGAGAGGTTTTCTGGGGGAAAGGAAGCATAACAGGTTGCAACCACATATGGAGATGAAGAAATGGGTTGGACACAGGACTTTACTACCCATCATTCATTTATCATGCTGTTTCTAATAAAACCATGTAACAACCTTGAAGAGTGCATATTACCTTAATTTTTATCTTTAACACTGAAGTGCTACTTCTGGTACAAGGACTTCATCTGACAGGCAACACAGGACTGACAACATTCATTGTTCTCCTTAGTGCATGGACAACTTTTGGAAGATCGTGAGCCAGAAAACAGCAGTGGTGCCAATGTGGAACCATGTCTTGAGTTTCTTGTTGCTTAACTGTGACTACATGGCTTAAGGAAAGCACTTTTCCTTCAGGTAGTAGTGCAGTTGCTCTTAGGAGTCTTCAGATAGGTTTAACATGTTTCAACTAATAGAGAACTATAAGACTTATGTTAATAAAAAATATTATTTAACATATCTGATTTGAAAAGAGTATTTATTTGTTGGCTACTTCTTAACTGGTTGTTGTGAATTTTGCTCTCTTTATTTAACTTAAAGGAGCTCTGTGTGCAAGGGCCTACATGTCTGTAATTTACATTTGCTCTAAAGCCTTTGTACCAATTTCAGTGACATTTGGTTCCTCTCAGCTCTCTATCCAAGTGCATAGACTGTCTTTTAGGGGGATGATGATCAGGGCACCTGCCACAATGACATTATCTCTCCAACAAGAAGAAATTTGTGTGAAAAGAACTGTATACACCTGCAGTCTGAGAAGGGAACAAGAAAACTCATTTGTAACAATAGTACAGGTTTTGCCTCTTTCATTACTCTCTCTACTATGGCAGTGCAACCCGGATCAATCCAGTAGTCAATGTACTTTAACTCGTGCAGGAATCTTGATTTCTATAAAATTATGTAAGTACGTTGTACATTTGTTCTTTTGTCCTGTTTCTAATCTTTTCTCTTCAACAATGGTTTAACACAGATTTCAACACAAAAAGTTTAATTTGAAGAGGCTAGTCAGCAAAGCCACTTCTCTCACACACAGCAAATTCCTTTTCTGTCTCTTGCTCTGATACACAAATAGATCCACATTGTTTAATGTGTTGGGGCTTTTTTTTTGTTTGTTTTGGCTTTTTGTTTGGGGGGGCTTTGATTTTCTTTTTCTGGAATGCTGTATCAAATATTGAAATCAAATTTGCCTGGACAAACATGCAGACATTTTCTGTTGTGTATTCTGAAGAGTTCCTATTCTCCTCACTTCACAGGCCACTTCAATTTGCTGTTACTATGATAAATAAAAGTTCTCTGTACCTAAAGAACTGTGGACATGAGAATGTTCTGATATCAGTGTGGGAGATGGGGCAAGTAGCTTCATGGGGGCGCATTTCTGCATATACCAGCCAAGGATCCAAAAATGTTTGAATGGAAAGTTTTAAGTATGGTATTGATCAGGAAAGAAGAAGATCTTAGAGTCAGAACACCATGACCAATCTATTATGCATTGAGCCAATCATTGTGTAAGGATGACTTGCAGGTTAGTGGTGGTTCATAGATCAGCTGTATAACCAGATCTCTTTTAAAGCATATTTAATTAGAAGTTTGGTAATAAGGGTATCTAGTGCTGCAGGACAAGACTTGAGGTTGGCTATGGTCCGTGGACCAGTAGATTCAGGGAGTCACTGCATTGCATTGCACTGCATTAAGTCATGGTGTGTTTTGTACAGGTATCCAAACGGGAAATCATCTTTTCCCAAAATACTGATTGCAGCATGCATGAAACTCACCTTCCACTGACAGAGTTTTTCAGGTAAATTAGTAGAAGCTTAAGTTTGCAGGGCTGGTGAGAGTAAGATCAGTACCCTTTGGAAACATTAGGTAGGCAAACTGTGTTGTCTTAACATCTGACTACACCCTGTCTGGAGTTCAGCATATCTCACCTGGACTGTCACTGCCAGTATAAAGTGCAGAGGTCTTCCTTAGGCCGGTGTTGTATCTGCTAGCTGTGCACAGGCATCTCAGTGGGGTTCTATGATACTGAAATATTTCTCTTTAGAAAAGTTAATAAATCCCTTAGTTTTAGTGAAAACCATTTCAGTATTTTGTAGCATAAAAACACAAAGGAGGATTTCTGGCCCACATTGGGAATTGCCTGTATTTCTTTCCTACATTTGACTGCTGGCTATCATATCCATGGATAATTTTCTCCAGGAGTGGAAAGTTATTATCTGTTTATATATCTGAACTATTTCTTTACATCTCCAGCAAAACCAGAGGTATTAGGTTGACTAAGTTCACCAGAGTAAGTCAAACTATTTACCTTTCCTTTAGGACTCTTCTGATTAGCAGGATACATGAAGATCCCACCATACATCAATGTACGGTGAACGTCAGCTACCATGGAGCCCACATACCTGGCACCATATGGGGAACTGCCATCCTGAAAAATGTAAGAGTAAAACATTATATCTACCAGGCTAGACAGTAGCACTGCAAAATGTAATTTTGTTATAAAACAGGAATTAAAGCTGCTTAAATAAATGTCTGGTTATGAACACTGTAAATACATAAACCAGCCTGAAGTTTAGCCTTTTGTAAGACACGGTGATCGTCTCTGGGTTCTAAAATAAGCACTTTAGAAAGATGCATTCACAGTATGGAAACCAGAGTGCCTGTAATTTGAGTGCACAATTTGGTATCAACCCCCAGCCTGTGAAAAAGCAAGGGCTGCAAACAGTGAGTGAAAACTTCTCCACGTTATCAGAACAAGGTACCCATTTCATTGCCTGTTCTTCACAGGTTCCTAAGCCAGGACATGAGGAGGGACATCACTTTTCACTACACATCTATATGGTTCCTAGAGGGCTCCAGCTTTTTCCTTCTAGCTTATTTATCGGGTTGTGAAATTGATGATAGCATTCATTCTGCAGCTTAGTTTGGGACATAGCAGTTTATTCATGCATGTAATTTTCCTTGCTCTCAGCTACAAATTAATGTTGAAGGAGAGGTCATTTTAGTAAGATCAGTCAGGGAAGTATTCATATCAGTCTCAGGTTTTCTGATCATAAAATTGATAAGGTGGGAAATGCAGAAGAGAAGCACAGTGTCTTACACAAATACAAGTTATATACACCAAATAAGCTCCACCCAAGAAAAGCAACATATCACCGTAATTTTATGAAGGGGAAATATACAATACAAATGTAAACCAAAGGAAAGCTTTCTGAAAACTACTATGTCAAGAAGTCTGTTGGTCTTTCGATGTCTCCCACTCTGTCTTGAATGAAGCATACGAGGAATTTGCACCTCTCCAGACAATTACTAGAGACTAAGACGTCATGCACATTTAATATATTTATATACTTGTGTATTGCAATGTTAAAAGTTTGAAAAAACCTTTGCATGTTTTTTTAATGTCTTGATCAGTTGTCTAATAAAAACTCTTATTGCTTTCTACAAAGCTTGCCTTGTGCTGATACTAGATCCAGAGAAATACATAGAGAATTTGTTCAGCAGTGCCAGCTCCAAGACTTTCAGACATCACAGGTTAGTCACCCTTCCCAGCAAAATGATGAGGTTAGCTGGGAGAAAAAAAAACAACCCACAAGTAGGAGGAAAAAACACAGATAGAGAAGAGCTAATAATTCTATTTTGAAATCACTTTTTCAAACTGTTCTGTGCAACTGTGAAGTTTTGATATTTACTCTCTTTTAAAATGGGAAAAGATTCTAATGAAATTACACAATATAATGCCACACAACACTAGGAAGTTGAGTCCTAACCCACTAAATATAAGACTTGGATATTTCACACAGCTGGTAGTAAAATTGGAACAGGGAACTGTTCCAGCCTAGGTAATAACCCTGTTGAATAACCCAGTACTTGTGCTGTTCTCTACATTTCTTTCTTCTTGTATAAATTAGGAGAACTACTAAAAATTCAGATGAAAACAATACAAAGTATGAAAGACATGATGGATAAGACACAGCCTGGAGCTTTTATATTTAGTTTTATTTAAACCTTTCCTTATCACTTCCAGGCACAACTGAACAATACATTTAAGTAGTTGATGCCTTATTTTTCATGGCTTCCTCTCAAATAATATATTTAGACTTCAAATGATAGTTTCTTCATCTCACAGATGTTTTCACTTGTGACTGCAACTGTAAAAATCTGAGGTCAGAAAAAACACCTTAAGAGGTCTTAAAGAGAGACCAAAGCAAATCTGCAGTTTAAGAAGGGACAATTTTCAGGGAAATATGTCATTACGGTCTAAAATTACCTTTAAAAATACTGTCAAAGGAAGACCTCTCTTTTCTGGCTTGTTTGTTTGTTAAACAAGTTTGTTAAACTTTAAGAAAAATCACAGCATGTCAACCATAAGCAGGCCCAGAAACAGACTACTAAGGATTGCTTCTATGACATTATCCAATAAGGAATCTGCAACCCACGTATGTAAAATTTACTGACCATGAACTGCACAACTGAGCCACCTGTGTGCAAATTATCAGATATGTTTGGGATGTGCTGGATTTCTTATATGCATGCAAGTAATTTACACGATTTATGTGTATGTGGGCAGTGTTATGTGAAGCTGATGAGATGCCACTGACAATGTTAGTTGCTTCTTACCCTGATATAAATTCATCTTCTAGAAACACAATGCTGAGAATAATACAGAAGAGAAATTCCTTCATTCTGGTATGGTTACCATCTGAACCACAGACAGACTTCCCTTAGCATCCAGCTACCTGCATGGTATAAATAGCCCTTTAGTTACTAGGAGTGTTACTTGTTGTTTCTCCAGTTAGGTCACTCGTGCATTTTTCTTACAGATGAGAAAGTTAATAGGTGTTGCATGCATGTTGGCGTATTGTCCAAGCTATCTTCTAAACCAAAATAACAGCACATGAATGCTAGGGAGATTCATCCTGAGTTCTGAGTAATGCAAAACTGTGTGTTTTCCCAGTGAGCACTTTACACTGGTTCAGCTGATGTTAATGAAAGAGTTGGAGAACCTTGATGTTCCCTTGGTCAGCATCCATGGCATTTGAGTAAACTTGTTATTACTCTTAGTTTCATCCTTTCCACTGCTTTGCTTTGCTTAACCCAGAGTAACAAAAATAGCTCCTAACAGATAGGTCCTGTGATTTTTTTCTTCACAGTGTGATGGAAGTAACTTTTTCACTTCTTTATTCTACTCATTTCTGAAAGTTGTGTTCCTCCACAGCAGAACATGACCAAGTTTTTCTTGCATAACTACGATGACTAGGAGAGCGGGGTGAAAAAGGTATTTTCTACAGGCTACAGAAGCAGCACCCTGCATCCCTCACTCCACATACAGATATGGTGACAAAAGTGGTGGTTTTTATAGCTTTTTATGTCACTTGGGCACAACTGGGCTGGCTGGCAGAAGAATGCTTCATGCTAAAATGTGATGTTGATGATTTGGTTTTGATGGCATTGCTAGGAGAAATCTTTAACCAGGGAGTCTCCATTGCATGTCTCTGAATCAGCAAGCTATGATGAGATTCAGCTTCTCTTGTGACTGTAGGAAGCAAAGATAAAAATGTGTGGAATAGCAAAGTACAACAATGTTCTACCATCAGTGAACCAGTGCCAGCTAGAGGCTAGGGCTCTGCAAGCATTACTGGAAGAAGAACCCACTTTGGGAAGGAGTTAGAGTGAAATTTGTGCAGAAACAGTTTCTGGACCAGCAGTGTCCATTTGATTCAAGGAAATGATCACCGCCTTTGCAAATTATTTACTTATAGCAACTTATAATGATTTTTGAATATCGCTTAATAATCCTGCTTGCCCTGACTGTTCTGTGGAAGCTTACCAAGGGCTACTGCTACTGTGTTCATCAAAACAAAGCAGTTTTCTGTGGAAACTTAGCAAGAATTACTATGTTCGGCAAAAATGTTTCTTGTCCTTGGAAAGCAGATGCGCTCTTATTAGTTTAGTCTTGATAATGAACAAGATAGACATATATGGACAGTAGAAATGGATACACTGGTACTTTTAGATAAGGTAGAATGAGTAAACTAGCTGAAAACACTCTTGTTATTCAAGAAGTTGGCTAAGAGAGTCTGTGCATGCTCCATGGAAATGTACAAGGTGAGAAAGACTATGAGCCTTCCTCCCAAAGTGCCCCCCCCC